CCTGCCTTAAAGGTATAGGCGGCCGCGCCGCCCTCCCCGCAGGTCGCCCCCGCCCCTGCCCTGCGCGCGGGCTATTTTATTGTTCTCTTTGCAAACGTCTTTCTTCCCGGCGCCGGTCCGGCCCGCGCTCCCGCGCCCTCCCACGCGCGGCTAGACCTTGGGCGCGCGCTTTACCTTTCCACTGCCCGGCCCCTAGGTACGCTGGAGGGGTAGTCTGGCTGCCGGAGGAGCAAAGGGCTGCCCGCCCGCAGGCAGAGGGCTTCTAAGTGCAGCGCCCTGATTGATACCCGAGGCAGCCCTGAGCCGGCTCCTTGGCCCAGACACCTGAGAGTCCCGATGGCTTTTGCGGAGGGAAAGGAACTTTCCTATTGGAGTTTTCTCCGGGCATTTAGTAGATGCCACTTAGTAGACGTTTTCTCAGTGGCCCTCCTGGACTCCCGAGCGGTGGCAGGTGACACCCGAGGGAGAGGCCGTGAGCGCGTGAAAACCGAGTCCGCGCTTTGCCGGCGCGTTGGGAGCAGCTGAGCCCGGGCTAAGCCTGGCCGGTGCAGACACGCAGCCCTCAAGCTGTCGTCGACCCCCCCCCCCCGTGCGAATGAGTAGAATTTAAGAAGGGATCAATCTGCTTTCGTAATTAAGGGCAAAGTTTCCATTTAGTTTATAAAAGTGTGCAATATTTCTATTTATAAAAGTGTGCAATTTCTATGTTATCCCCCCAAAGGCTTTCTTTCCGCATTGGAAGTTGGTGGAATGAACCAGACTGTGGGCGAGGGCGGAGGAGAGTCGGGTCACACTTGTGTTTGCTGATCTTGACCATCATTTTAACTTTATCGCATTTCTTTAGAGGAAATCTGTCTTGCCCTCTCTTTATTGCTACTCCATCCTTTTTTCAAGATCAAAAGGTTTAGATCAAAGCCAAGATCAAACTCACTACTTTAAATAGAAGCAACTTTGCCACGGAGTGTATCTTACACAAAGAGGAGCTTCCTAATGGAGACATCAGAGTGGAAAACTTTATCCCTTCATCCCGTATTTATAACTGCACTACTTAGAATTACAGGGATGATGCCCGTCTACTTCCTAAAATAAACAAGTTTGCTTAAATGGGGGAATTCTTGCTTGGTGTTTGTGCTTCCAAAAATGAAATAAAAAAAAAAAAAGGGAAAAGAAAAAAGAACATCTAACTCTAGAATATAAATAGTAAATTAACCATCTGTATCATTATTAGCTAAGTGCTATGAAATGCACGTTCATTTGCTAAAGACTTTTCAACATATTACTGAGTATTCATATAAAATTTTTTCTAATGTATGAAAGAAATGCATAAAAATAGTTAATTGTTTGGAAATTATGAGTGCACATACACACAGGCAGGTGAAAAACTACACATAATGATGAGAATTATACAATGCTGCTTAATCTTAAGTGGAAAGAGAACTTTGAACTCTTCAAGCTCAGTGCTGCTAATAACAGTTCCAGAATCGATAGAAATCTATCCTGGCACACACTTCCTTTCACCGCTAGAATATTTTCCTTGGAACTTCACCATCCCTAGGAACTCTGATATGAACTGTTCAATACTGATGTACTAAAACAGAGTCCTGCTTAACGACACCTTCCTTAAGGGGACTCTGGACCAAGTCAACTATTTTTCAGCATATGCTCTTAGAAGAAACAAAAATGAAAACTAATTCCAACAATTTAGTAACAGGAATAAAGATAACTACTGCATAGTAAGATTTCTAGGGACCAGCAGTTAGTGTAATGGCTATGTCACTGGACTCCAATGTAGTTGACCATAGTTCGAGTCCTGGACCCAGTGGCTTAAACTCACACCGGTCATGTGTGCGTGCGTGCCCAAGATCCGGAGAGGAGAATGGAGGAGAAGGGATTGTGGCGTGGCTATCCCCGCTGGGGGGTGATTTCTCTCTTTCTGTCTCTCTGTCTCTCTCTGTCTTTCTGTTGGGCACGCATGCCCTATAGCAAAAACATCTCCTCCCCCCCCCCAAAAAAAAGACTTCTATAAGAATCTGTTGTTAATGCTAGTGGGGACTGCTCAGCAGAGTTTTTATCCTTTTAATTTTCATCTGGTTGCAGTCTCAAACACATGTGCACACACAGGAGACTGTTCTTGAGTCTAGACAGCCCACTGAAGCACTGGGGAGGTCTCAGGGACAGGTCTGGACACCCTATGGTGTACCACAGACAGTCTCCTTTCGTCCCAGCACCCAGCTCCTGGAGAACCTAACAGTTTCTGGCATAAACCGAACGAAGGAAACGTCCTAGTGTTACCCTGTTCTTCGAGGACTTTTTTGAGTGGGAAGCGAAAGCTGGGATCCATTCTAATAGTCACCTCCTAACTTGTCTTTTCCTTTGTCCTCTTTCCACGTTCACCTGGCAATCTATCCTCCACAGAGAAGCCAGGATCATGCTTCCAAAGATAGTTCCGATTGTATGGCTTTGTTCTACTGAGCCTGTGTTTCCTTCTCTTCTCTGGCTAGCTCACTCCTATCCTCTAGTCCTGGACTAAAGGCCTCTTCAGGATGGGCTTTTCTTACTCTCTGATCTAAATTATGTCACCCCACTGTTCTTTCTAGTAGCATCCTGTTTGTAGCCTTTAAAATGGCTTTCTATTGTAGCTATTTAAACATTTATTTTTATTTTTGGAGAGATTTTTGCTATAGGGCACAGGAACTCACCTGAGACAGAGACAGAGAAAAAGAAAAGCGAGAAATCACCCCTTAAGGGAGACAGCCACACCACAATCCCTTCTCATCTCTGGATTTGGGGCATGCATGCACACACACCCTGTGTGAGTTTCAAGCCACCGAGTTTGAGACTTGAGCCATGGTCAGTCCTGTGGTAGTCCAGAGTTTAAGCACTGTGTCAACTGCTGGTCCCAAAAGTTTTTTTAGTTTTAAGGTACTATTTTTGAGAGGGCACACAGCTGGAAAGAGGCAGAGAAAGACAAAGTGAGAAGTTACTGCCACTCCCAGCCCAAGGAGGATGGCCATTCCGTAATCCTTTTGGGTACACATGCACACACACCCAGTGTGATTTTCAAACCTCTCGGTCCAGGACTCAAACTGTGGTCACCATGTTGGAGTCTCCCCCCCCCCCCCCCCCCCCCCCCGCCTCCGCAAAAGTTTTAAGTTGACAGAAAAATTGAGCCAAAAGCACAGAGTTCCCATACCGCCCCAAACACGCTCAGTCGCCCTCCTCTGAACATCATGCAGTTGCATGGTGTATTTGTTACAGCTGAGGAACCAATACTGACAGATTATATCTTAGCCTGCAGTTAGAGGGCCCTGCTGTACCTTTGTGTCATAGTTATTATAGCTATTCTTTCCTTTTTTTATTTTTATGAGAGATTTTGCTATAGGTCATGTACACTCACCAGAGAGACAGAGAGCGAGAAATCACCCCCAAGGAGGGATGGCCATGCCACAATCCCTTCTCCATTCTCCTCTCAGGATCTTGGGCACACATGCACACATGCGGCTGGTGTGAGTTTTAACCTACGAGGTCTGAAACTCAGATCGACGTCAACTGCGTGGGGATCCAGCAACATAACCATTACACCATCTGCTGGTTTCAGTATAGCTATTTTAAGTAAATTTATTGAATGTCTATCTCCCAACTAGCTTTATACTCCAGAAAAAAATAATCCTTTCTCTTTTGTTCTTGTTTTTTCTGTCCAGTCACTAAAAACATTTCCTAGCACACAGTAGATGCTTAGTAAACACGTTAAGTAAGTGAATGAAAAGATAAAAGAACAAATGAGTAAACGGTACATGAAATTTCAAGGAGGAGGAGTCTTAAGATGAAGATTTCTCTGATTTACTCCTCTTTGTTTCACCACTTAAATACCTTCAGTTGGGGTCAGGTGGTGGCATGGTAGGTAAGGCAGCTGGATCCCACATGGTCAACTGCATGGTCCAAGCCTGGACCCAGCAACTTGAAAACATACCAGTTGTGTGTGTGTGTGTGTGTGTGTGTGTGTACCTGAGATCCTGAAAGGAGAAGTGATAGCAGCATGGCCATCCCCACATCCGGAGGAGGGTGCTGTCTCACTTTCCCTCTTTCTTTCTCTGGTGAGTGCATATGCTCTCTAGCAAAAAAAGAAAAAAAAAATTAAGAAACCTTAATTTGTAAAGATCATAGAATTGTGCATTTTGCAAAAGAGAGACCATAGGACATTTGTTACAACACTTGGGTATTTCTAAAGTAATTTTAAAATATAGAAATGAGAAAGGTTTCTAATTCCATATATTAATCACTAAAATTATATCCCAAAGTGGTGCCAGGAGCTGAATTTTAATCTCTGATTTAATCTCTGATTCCAGAGATTAACATATTGCATGACACTAGAATTGCATGAATACTTTTTGACTGTGTTCAATACAATCTAAACACATTTTCTTTCTTTCTTTCTTTCTTTCTTGTTTTTTTAATTTTACCAGGGGCATTT